TTATCAATCCTGATGTGCGTACGTCAACCGAACATATGCGCAGATATAACAGGCCAGAGGGATTGCAAGAACTTTGTATCCTTATGCGAGACGAGCCTCTCAGGCGTGAATTGTGATACATCGCCGAACTGGTGGCACAGTAGCTATTGCTTACACGAATCGAGCGTTTGGTCTGCTGCATTATGTTATGCTTTTCCTGTCAGGTGAGAATGGATGGGTTGTTGAAGGTACACGTTCCGATACTAACATTCACAACATTACAGCGTGCGAATTCTATGTTTTCCATGTTAATACACGTCCAATAGAACGGACAACGATTTTTCATACGTCCCGACTCTTTCAAGAATACGTCTGCATGGCCTTTGCAAAGATCGAAATGGACGCCTTCTGTTCGACCGTTTGCACCAAAAAGAGATTCGTGTCGAACTTTACCAGAATCTCCGTGATCATCTCATGCGTTATGATAATGCTGAGAACGTTGGCCAACGTATTATTTTACCTACAACTTTCACCAGAGGTCCTCGTGATATGCATCGATGGTACCAAGATGCAATGGCTGCAATCCAACAACTCGGTGCCCCATACCTCTTTAGTACAATAACATGTAATTCCCACTGGCCGGAAATTAAACAAGCCCTTCTTCCTAGTCAGCAGCCTGCAGATAGACCGGATCTGCTAGCTCGTGTTTTTAAAGGCTATCTTCAACAACTCATACATGACATTCACTCTTCTCATATTTTCGGTGCGACCGCTGCATTTGTTTACTCTATAGAGTTCCAAAAATGTGGTCCCCCGCACGCTCACATAATCGTTCTCCTTGAAGAAAATGCCAAGGTTTCCACACCTGAACAAATAGATAGCATCGTTTGTGCTGAGCTACCGCAAAACGCCGAATTGCGCGACCTCGTCTTAACTCACATGATCCACAACCTGTGTGGTGCACGTAATCCGCAAGCTTCTGCATGCACAACGATCGTTGCACTCGTTACTTCCCCATAGACTTTTCTGACCGAACCACTTGGAACAAAGAAACAGGATATCCCATTTATCGTCGCCGTTCACCGTCAGATGGAGGAATTACTATTGTCCATCACGATGAACTGATCGATAACTCCTGGGTGGTACCTTACAACCCCTATCTCCTCTTGCGATATCAATGTCACCTCAATACCGAGATTTATGCATCGACAGCAGCTTGCCGATACATGTTTGAGTATATTCTCAAAGGACCCGATTGCGCAATGGTCGTTGAAGCGATTGACAATAATGACGAAATACAGACATATCAAAATATCCGAACAATTGGTGCCGTTGAGGCCTGCTGGCGTATCTTAGAATTTCCACTATCAGAACGCTACCCTCCTGTAACTGCGCTACCGGTTCATACAGAAAATAAACAACGCATACTTTAGAGAACATCTGGCTCAACACATAACACACAATCCACCCCCTGAAACCGAACTCACCGCATGGTTTAAGTGAAACGTTGCACGACTCCATGATCCTGAAGACATTAAACCACTCTATAAAGACATGGTTCATAGATTACAATTTGACCGGAAAAAGAAAGAGTGGGTTCTCAAACAACGCTCCAGTAATACAATTGGACGAATCCACACCATCCATCCAAATGCAGGTGACACGTTCTACCTCCGTATGCTACTCAATTCTCCTCATTCCCGCGGTGCGACATTATTCGAAAACTTGCGTATAGTTAACACTAAGGTCCGTCCAACATTCCAAAATGCATGCAAAGCGTTAGGTCTTCTCAACGATAACACACAATTCGATGTTGTTCACGATGATGCTATTTTCACGTCATCCTCACCGATGGTGCACGATCTTTGTGCCCCAGCCGATCCAAATGAACTATTCAAAACGCACTGGGACCGTATGATTGACGACTTCCGTAGGAGCACATGTCTCAGACGACATTCTAAAAGCCATGGTGCTCCTGGACATGGAAAGCCGCCTGCAAAGAGAAGGGAAGGAACTTGAAGACGTCGGCCTTAACCCACTACTCCCGCAGATCGGAATGGAGCGACTCACATTTCACAAAAACCACGTCGAGAAGGAATTCCTAGGCTGATAGATGATGAGATATCAAATGACAAACAAGAGCTACAACGTACACTTGATATAAATCTCCCACGACTCACACCATCACAGCATGTTGTATTCCAACGTGTAATTAATGTTGCGGAAAATGTCGAGCCCCTTTGTCTAGTTGTTGATGCACTTGCAGGAACCGACAAAACATTCTGCCTCAACACCATACTAGCGCATATACACCTCCATGACCAAATAGCACTTTCTGTCGCATCTAGCGGCATTGCAGCTACACTTTTGGACGACGGCCGTACTTTTCACTCTCGCTTCAAAGCACCACTCACGCCTACAGAAACATCAACTCTTGACATTCCCAAATAGAACACCTTGGCACAACTCGTAAGAATGACCGCTGTGATCGTCTGGGACGAAGCACCAATGATGCACAGATACCACATAGAAGCGCTCGACAGGACTTTGCAAGATATATGTTCATCCGACCAACCATTTGGAGGGAAAATTATCGTTATTGCAGGTTCGACAGATTCTCCCTGTCATCACAAAGAGAACCCGCGCGCAAACAATCAGCGCGTGCATAGAACCCTCTAAACTATGGCGTTGCTTTGAGACAATCCACCTTTCCGAAATTATGCGTGTACTCACTCAAAGCAACACCGCCGAAGCACGCGACTATGCCGCATGGTTGCTGCGCCTCGGCAATGGCGAACTTATTCCTCCACATAACACAACACCTGATAAGATCGAACTCCCCCCTCACCTGTGCCTTCATGGAGGAACAACAGACCTCATTGCATGGACCTTTCCTGCCCTCTCAACAAATTCAAACAACCCTTTATGGTTTGCTGAGCGCCTGATCCTGGCGCCCAAAAACAAAACAGTCGCCACCCTCAACACTACCATATTAAACCAATTTTCGGGGCCTCTGATCACGTCTCTTAGTGCTGATACACTCCTCCCGAATGACAACTATCCTGACGTCTCTACAAACACTCTCAACACCCTGGACCTCCCCTCCCTACCACCGCACATTCTCCAAATGAAAAAAGGGGCACCCGTTATTGTCTTCCGAAACATCGCTATGCAGAACGGTTTATGCAACGAAACACGCTTGATCGTTGATGAAATTACCAACAATAGGCTTCTGCATTCACGCACCCTTCCTTCGCTGCGACCGGTTCTCCTCCCACGCATTCTATTGACTGTCACTAATCAAAGCATCCCTTTCCCTAGGCAAAGAAGACAATTCTCTGTCCAACCTGCATTTGCGATAACTATCAACAAATCCCAAGGCCAATCCATCAAACACGTGGGAATCGATATTCAGCAACACGCCTTTGCCCACGGCCAACTCTACGTCACTGCCTCTCGTGTCGGAGACCCGTCCCATATTCATTTTGCACTTCCCAACGATGCTAAACAATCAACGAACGTTGTATGCAAAGAAATACTGACACAATACTCACATTGTTGTTCCCTGCTTTCCATTGTTCTGTGTACAGGTGTTTCGACGACAACGCCGCCAACGAAAAAAAGTAAAACTCTCCCTGACAAAAACGACAGCATGTCGACAACCACGACTCCGGCTACTACTCATACGTCCACATCTTTGCCTGCCACAAAGTGTTCACCACATATACCTCCACCTTCATCACCCGCCACTAAGTGTTCACCACATATACCTCCACCTTCATCACCCGCAACTTCCCTAACCACTCCACTTCTTGCTCTATTCAAGACTCCATTGTTTTGATTCTACATTGTTGTCAAATGATTGATTCATAGCATTGTTTTTGTCCTACATTGTTATCAACTGATTGGTTCGTTCTTTTCAGACCCATTCTGTGATTCATTCGTTCTTCAACCTGGGAAGTCCTTCGTTCTGTATGGACACCTCCCTCGCATCTACCTCTCCCTTCTTCGCACCTCGGCCTCCCGCTTCTTCTTCCTACCTCCTGGTCTGCCGCGAGCGAAGCCGCGGCAGGTCCCCTTGTTTATTTTTATTTTTCTCAAACCTGACAACCTATAACCTTGTAGAACACCAATAGGACTGCCTTGTTACTTGTAGAACTTCAATAGGATTATCCTGTTACCTGAACATTGCTACCCTCACCCTTGTAGAACCTCGATAGGATTACCCTGTTACTTGAGCATTGATTCCCTCATCCCTGTAGAACCTCAATAGTGTTACCCTGTCACTTGAGCATTGATTCCCTCATCCCTGTAGAACCTCAATAGTATTACCCTGTTACTTGGGCATTGATTCCCTCACCCCTGTAAGAACCTCAATAGGATTACCCTGCTACTTGCATTACTCCCCTTTTCCTTTTCTGACCAGTGATCGGCCCCGTCCCGTCCTTATTCGATTTTGAGTTCAGCCCCGTCTTTTCTGTTTATCTAGATGACATGATGGGTCAATTATTTGCTTTATTCGTATTAACTGTAGCTGCTGCAGAATCTGCTATTGGGCTTGCTATTCTTGTTATTACTTTTCGAATTTGTGGCACTATTGAAATCTACCCAAACCAAGGCAAATTGCACTTCCGCCCTCGGGACTCAACTTGAGCCCGGTACTAAAGACCCGACTCAAGCTGAGTTCGGGGATTCAGTTTTCCGCCTCAGTGCTTGTGCTTCAGTGTGACTTGCTGCAACATTGTGTTCGGAATCCAAGATTGCAACCTTGCGACTTTGCCACTTTGTGTCTGCGTCCGTCGGGTCCTGTCGAGTCTGCGTCGAGTTGAATCAGTGTGTGCGTGTGCTCTCACTCTCCCTCTCTCTCCCAGCATCTCTGCTCTGCCTTAGCCCCATCACAGTAGTCCCATCTGGGAACAGACACACAATTCCACAATTTAGTAATAATTTACTAATAATTTAATAAAATCATATTAAAATTTTAAAATGACATAAAGAGTTTTTTGGCACCGAACACTCGCCATGAATACAAGATGATATGTATCCATCCGCAAAGCCTGCAGGACCTCCACCCCATTTGAAACAGCACTTGCTGTCAGACCCATTCCTTCGAGAATGGCTATGCTGATTGTCACATTAATAGCATTGTCCTCTGCAAGAAGTATCCGAGGCCAATCCTTTGTCTTGGCTCTTCTGTTACTTGGTCCTGCTCTCAGAGAGACTTGGGGTGCCGAGAGTGCGCAGGAGGGGTTATCACCTTCTCCCAGGCCTTGTTGCTCAAACAGTGGATGTTCTAGATGACTTTTATGAAACTCGTCCTGTTGTTGTGCCTGCATCTCCCTCTGCCACAGCTGTTCATTTGATTCCTCCCGATCCCTGGTAATGAACTCTGGTTGTGATGGTAGTTGCGCTTTATGAAGCAAGTGATCAAGATGGTGCTGCCGAGCCTGATGTAGCTCTTCCTGTAACTGTTTCTGGCGCTGACGTTCCTGCAACCCGTGCTGCATTTGCTCCTCCTTTCGGATCCCAACATGCTCCTGCTTGGTCATTCTCCCCTGTTCATGTATCACCAGTCCTTGCTGTCTGTGAGAGCGTTGTGGCTGATATGCTGGTGAACAGCAGCATTGCCATTGCTGCTGCTGCTGTAATGTAGTTCCATATTGCCGCTCTGAGTGTTGAACAATGCCCGGTTGTCGGCAATGCTGAGGCTGCTGTGCCATATCATGATCAGCTGTCGTGTGACCTGAACATGGGATGCTACCATCTCGGCAATCACCACCACCAGCATTACCACCACTTATTTGTTCTGGATTCCAATAGTCAACACCATGCCTGGCACCAAAAGGAGCAGCCGATGGCACTGCCTGCAGCTTCGGCCTTGGCACTATCACACTCTCACACAGTGCCACACCTGGTACTGTGTGACAACCCGGCTCGCGTTCCACATCTGCTACCCTTTCCATCGGTGAGAGACACTCAGATGGAGGAGTATGATTGTCCCTCACCCCTCTAGCTACTAGAAGACAATCACAGCTGGCAGATCTCAAGCTGTCTACAATGTTGGTAGCTATGGGCCTCTGGGCCTGGCCGGTTAGTGTTGCTGGTGAATGTTGCAAATCAACTATGCTTATCTCAGCAGGTTGATCTCCGGTGTCTCTGTCGACAGTGTCAGGAGCGCCCCCATGTAATCGTTGCCATTTGGTTTCCGGCCAACTGCCATCTTCTGCCATGTGTCCCCTTGTTCCTGGTGCACCTGTGAATGACACAGGGTTTGAACTCTGATCTGGTTGGACTGCCTGTGGTGTAAACACTCTATTAACACGTGCTTTGCAATGCACGCCCCTCCCCAAACACACGGCATCGTCACAGATTGCCTGCTGCAAGTCCGACCCCGTTGTGACTGCTGCTGGCCTGCCACCCGGCAGATGGCAGGGGCTCAAGGCTGAATGATCTTGTTGAACGCTGCTACTACTGCTCTGGGCCACTGCCCTCTTGCCCTTCCTGCTTCTCGAACTCTGCTCTTCTATCTTCTCCAGGCTTGGGATGCTTCCTCCTGCAAAACGTGATCCACATCCTCCAAGATTGGATATCCCTCTGGAAAGACCAGATCCATATGCACAAGCTCCACTGTGTTGCCTCGGCAGAGAAGTGACCCCAGTGACATCAACGATGCCCTGGGCCTCTGCTCCGTCGTCATTCATCCTGATGTGCAAACTCTGCTCCTTCCTCTTCTCCCACCGTCGCATCCTCCCTTCTGTGAAACCCGATCCACATTGTCCGAAACGGGATACTCCACCGAAATCGAACCTGTGTGAACCAGTTCCAATAACTTGTCTGGATGGAGCAGGGACCCCAGTCACACCATTAGGGCCCAGCTCCATTGAGCCCCTCAAATAACTGTTATCTCTGACTGGCGTCTCGTCTGAGATTCTGATTCCTGCAGCATCCTCCCCGTCACCCTCTCGATTGCGTATCGCATCCACATTGCATGTTTGTCTTTGACTCGTCGTGGCACCTGAGACGCAATTCATCAACAGGCAGAGGGCCCTGACTTGACAACAGCCCACCATCCTCAGAAGATGAGGGAGCCAATTTCGACACAACAGAGACGTTGTGCCAGGAGTTCTAACGACAGAGTCCCCATCTTGGAAAGCGAAATTGCAGATCCTTCGGAAATTACCTGTCTTGCTTCTGTCGTTTAGACGTCTCAGAAGCTCCAACTTCTCTATCGGTAACTGGATTGGGCTGATTGCCCTCATTCTGGCATCACCAATGACACATGTGTCACTTTCTGGTGCCGCTGCCATGGCTTTCAATCGCACATAAAAGGTGATTGTTGATCCCTTGCCCACCTGGCTCTCCACATCGATGCGTCAATCCATGGACTCCACCTTGAGGAAGGGGAAATAGTTTTTAAAAAAATTGAAGAAAGACAGACAGCAACTCAATCTTGTTAAATTCTGAAAAGCGAAGGATGGATTACAAGCAAGTGAGCCTTGCCCAATGCAAAACGTAACACTCAAAACTTAAACACGGAATTTCCCCTTGATAAGATAATCTTGGTAGAGTTCAAAATTCAAACCAGTTCTCAGATGGTAACATTGTAGTCTTCAACCATCTGTTATACCTAAGGGCCTACTCAAACTGCAACGCTGGCCAGATGAACTCTTGATGTCAGCATGCGTTAAGGAGATGGTTCACAGCAGCATTGAACTGCCTATTCTCATAACAAGCTTCTGCACGAGTGGTTGTGATTTTTTTTCTCTCCTCTTTTTTTTCCCCTTTTTTTCCTTCAGTGTTTTTCCCAAGCCCTCGGGATCCCGTCCAATCTCCTATATAGTGAAAAAATTGGACCATTTCTTGATTCATGTGTGTCATCCTTGCACAGGGCCCATGCTAATATTCTCTGCATTGTTCCAATTTTAACAGATGTCTCAAAGGACAGTGTGAAATTACTTTTTCTTTTAATCCCTTTGAGAAGGGTGACAGCCTTGAGATATCATCTTTGAACTGACCGGCCCCAGGTGAATTCAGAGGTATCTTAACTCATCTTATTTGTCGGAATTCAAACTCAGGTCTGTTTTCCAACAGGTGATAGTTTTACCAGCCGAGTTAGGCAGTGGGCTGGATGCCAAATTAGCTTCCATCTCCAGAGGTCATCAGGAGTAATCATTGGCGAGGGTAACACAACCATCAATAGTACTGAAATATTTAACTCGGTTACTTAGCTCACCGGGCCATGAGCTCGGGCAAGTCAGCCGGAGGTCACCTGCACAGGGCACCCAGTGCAGGCAAAAATCAGCCCTTCTGAGCCTTCTCCTTTTTTTTTTTTTTTTTTTTTTTTTTTTGAAAACAGAACCTTAGGGCTCTGGCTCCTTTTTCATTCTGGGGAGTGTCAGTCCGGTTCCTTTTCCACTGGCAAGTCAGGAAAGGTTACAATAGGTACTCACTTGCAATGACTTGCTCGTAGCCTCTCTCTGTCGAGGCTGTACTATAGGTAGGACAGATTCGTAATTTTGTTTGGCTGAGGGCTAACCGAGAGACCTACCTGTGAGGGAAATTCTTGAGGGACATATCTGCAAATCCGGGAAAATACAGGCCCGGTACTAACCTGATTCCCTACAGCTACCCTAACTGCGGATAGCAGACCCGGGCTACCCCTAGACAGACAGGCCCTATGGGCCTATTCTGAATAGACAGTTCTATAGCCTATAGCCGGGTCCGGTAGAGGCCGAGAGGCCGAAACAGATACGGTACCGGTCGGTCAGTCAGTCCGGTCTAGGTCGGTGTAGGCTAGAAGTAGGGTGGGCACATCGGTTCGGGGCTTTTGGCAGTTGGTACCGAGTACATCGCTGCTGCGCTACGCGTGAACCGGAAGTGGTGACGGCTCAGCGTGGAAGGAKWCGGGCATAGCCAGACCTTCGGAGTGCAGGCCATAGCTGGGACCTGCGCTGTACTCTGCCAGCACGCAGGGGCTGACAGAGGTCTGGGTTATCGAGGTCTGCTGGAGGCGAGAGAGATTGGTGCCCTGCTGGACTCTCCTCCGGAGTGGGGTCCCAGAGGGGTTGTGCTGCAGCCATAGCTGCAGCTTCTTCATCTCAGAGGACATCTTGTCAGGGTTTGGTGGCGCTGCTGCAGACTTCCACCCGGGAAGTCTTCCGACACTTCGGCATCATCAGATACTGTGGCGCTGGTCTTCTTCTTCATCCTCTGTGTRGCGCTTGGCCTCAGAGGCCTGTTTCAGGGTGGCGCTGCCCCCAGGAGGCTGTACTTGGGTGGCGCTTGATGTTTCAGGGACTCAGGGGGTGTCACGGGTGTTACTCAGGGTTGGGGAGTGAAGCGCTGCTCATTTCTGAGCAGCGCACTGTAGTACTGAAGTTATCCTGACAATTCGGGACTAATAAACAGTGTGATACTGTGTTTGAACTATCATCGTTTCATTGTTTTCTGGATGTGACCTGCTCGGCTTTTCTCTATGACTGGTTGCGAGGATTGAGTGGAGTGAATTGCACTTTCAGTATACCCGGTCATACCGCATGGTCAAGTCTTCCGCTGTGTCTATCTCCTTGTGCGGTGTGATACTCCTATCCTCTCCCCTTCCTTCTGTGTATGTATGGGCATGTGCAGAAGTCTATGTGAGTGAGTGTTGGCCTTCAGGCAACGAACAACCAGAATCGTAACACACTCATGCGCCCCCCCCCCCTTTTTGAAAAACAGAACCTTAGGGCTCTGGCTCCTTTTTCATTCTGGGGAGTGTCAGTCCAGTTCCTTTTCCACTGGCAAGTCAGGAAAGATTACAATAGGTACTCACTCATGTGCCCCCCCCTCTTTATGGTGTGGACAGCCGAAGGACGGCATTGATTACTTCCCGAAGGAAGGTTGTACCATCCTACACCCCTCCCTAAGCTAGCCTGTTCTATTGTGAATCCACTCTTGTCTTCACTCTTTTGGAAACTATCTTCCGAAGCCTTCCCTTCCCTTGGCCGGCCTTGTAAGCTGTCTTCCCTAAGGCAGGTGTGGAATTCTCGGCTTGCTGGAAACCAGGTCCAGCGTCCCATTCAGTTGCTGTCCACTGCTAACGTCACCGGTCCACTTGGGCTTCAGCTTAAAACATCTCTATCTGTCTATTCTTATAGGGTGATTTAGATATTTTCGTCGGGATTGTCATTGGACTGTTGTTGGCTTGCTCATCCATTTGGTTACTCGGGGAATGTGTGCGATTCTCTGGGTCCTGATTGTTGTGAAGTAGCAGGGTGAACCAATCTTTTGCAGTCAGACTCGCTCTCTGTGGCGGACCCACCAGGTGCAGAGATGGAGATGGAGGAAGAAGGGGAGCGAGATGGCACAGCGCAGCTCCCACGCCAGACTCCAACGCATGTACTCCAAACTGTGCGAATGTAGAATGAGCCAGAAAACAGACAACTGCTGGGGTATACCCCAGCGGACTGACRGGACTGGACTGGACTGGCTGGTACCGACAGAGGTACCGGCCTGGACTGGACTGCCCCGAATACAACACAGGCCTGTGAGGACAGGCCAAGGGGCTGGTCTCACAGGCCAACCAGAGGTCCGCTACACGATCCTCGGCCTGTGATGGATCACCTAGATACAAACACGCTTCCGCCAAGAATCGGAACTCTACCAAAGAAAAGAAAACCTGAGTAGTCTAGGATGCGGAGCAAGCTCCATGCTGAGTCCATGCGATGCAACCTAGGATAGAAAATGTCACAAAACAGCAATGTCACAGCTAACAGCCTAAGTGAAAGCAGAAGCAACTAACTAGCATTCATGTCCTAGGAAAGCAGAAGCAACTAACTAGCATACATGTCCTAGGAAAGCAGAAAGTAATGACAACTAGATCCTAGAATGTTGGAGGCAGTGGCCTCAATCTGAAAAAAGCTGACTAGTGTATAAGTCCTAAGAACAGCAAAAGCAGAACAACTAAATCCTAGAAATGTCAGAGGCAGTAGCCTCAGTCTGAGAGCAAAAGCAACAACAAGTCAAGCATATGTCACAGGAGAAGTGTGTCACAAACCAAAGGGTGGGATGGTCTCTGAGGGTGGCGAATGCAGCCTAAGGGTCGAAAAATCCTAAGGGCATCCACACATAGTGACAGGGGGAACACATGTCATCAGGCTCAATAAGGGTAGGGAATTGGGAGCTTACAGAACCAATGACCCTAACAGATAGATCATCAGGGCGGGTAATGCTCAACTAAAGGGGTAACCGCTATGGAGGGTCGACCATGCAAGGGATCAAGGGAGCCTGGTATACTAGATGAAGCATGCAAGGCTGCCTAACTAGGGCGTGAGGGCCGACAGAGGGTAGAAAGGTGATGGGTAAGGGAATCATGCAAATGACTCCTAAGTGAGGGAAGTCGGAGCTAGATCCGTAAGATGGGAAGCCAGGGCAATGCTACGGTCCCGATGCTTATGCGTATACCAAGGGAGAGCCCAACAAGGGTATTGTATAAGGTAAAGTGGTAAGAGAGTGACGACGTCTGAATTAGGCAGAGTTGATCGTGACGAAGTCCATGAAGCTGCCGATGACGTCCATGATGAGAAGTCCGGAATGTCGTCGAGGAAGAGTCGCAACCTCGACGAGCTGAAGTAGCAAAACTGATGTGGATGGAGTATTGAGAAGTCAAAAACGTGGGAAGATAAGTCAGAGTCAATCGTCGTATCGAACAGGACGACGACGAGTGCGCTGTGGACGCTTAGAAGCATCCAACTGCTGCTGAAGGCCTGCCTCAGAAGGGGCAGGCTCGACTTTAGCGGTCTCCTCAGCCGAGGGAGAAGGAGGGTGGTCAAGCTGAGGGGGAGCAGTCGACCCAGCACGACGAGCACGGTCATAGGCACGCACCAACATGCGAGCGTGGTGCAAGTGCTCGAGGGGCCCCCAGGTAGCCTCCTCATCAGGGTAACCCTTCCAACGTACGAGATACTCGACATGGGGAGGGTTGTCGTCAGTGACTCGGCGACCCATGATGTCTGAAACGAGGAACTCCTCGTGGCCGTCCACCACGATGGGTGGAGGGCGCTCGTATGGTCGTCCAACGAAACACTTAGACGGTCTGCGGTAAGGACGAAGTAACGAGACGTGGTAGACAACGTGCACACGAGCCTGACGTAGGTAGTCGGGCAGCTTCACACGGAAGTTGACCGGGCTAGAAGCCGTATCAAGCTGTAATATCTCCATCGCGCTAGCAAGACGTGGGAAAAAAGTATTACAAATTGGCTGTGACCCAAAACATGATAGTACAGAACCGACGGCCTGGAGAATGTCGCATGGGCCAAAGAAGCGACGCTGAAACTTGCGAAGCGTGTCCGCTTCGAGCTGTAGGTGGCGGGCATCGATAAGCACATCATCACCGACTTTGAATGGATGGTCCATCCCCGATCGGTTTGCACGTGCTGCCATGCGAGTCTGGGAAGCGGTTATGTGCTCATGTGCGGTCTTCATGATCGACGTCATGTGTGCAACCCAATCATCCAACGCGGGACAACTCGTGTCGGGGTGCATCTGCGACGGTCGAAGGAAGTCCGTGGGAACACGAGGGTGATAGCCGAGGTCGCAATAGTAAGGCGACATCCCCATGGTTGGCGAGACGGCGTGGTCGTAGGCTATCTCCGCGTGGGCAAGATGGAGATCCCACTGCTGGTCATCACGAACAATCTTTCGGAGAATATCTTCGAGAGTCCTGTTCATGACCTCGGTCTGACCATCGGTCTGAGGATGGTAAGACGACGAGAAGCGGAGCTGGGTGCCGTAAACCTCGTGGAGTCGTCGCCAGACTCGGTTGGTAAAGCGCGGGCCACAGTCAGATATGATGCTCAGAGGTAAGTCGTGGTCACGCACGACTCGGTCAAACACGATGTCGGCGACCTTACGTGCACTGATGGTATAGCAACATAGAACAAAGCATGCACGCTTCGTGAAGCGGGTCGACGACGACCAGGATAGCATCATGACCGCGGGGGGTCGAAGGTCGAAGAGGACCGATGAAGTCCATCGAGATGGACTGCCAACGACCCTCAGGTATAGGAAGAGGCTGGAGCAAACCATAAGGAAGGTGGTTCGCACCGTTCACCTCCTGACAGGTGGGACACTCTGCGACGTAGTCCTTCACAAAGTCCTTACGCTTCGGCCAGACATACAGGCGGCTCACACGAGCCAACGTCTTGTGGAAGCCCATATGACCGGCGACTGCCTGGTCATGGAACTCTGCTACTGCTCGGACACGTAGTTGTCCAGTGGAGGGAATGCAAATACGGGGCTCTCTGGTGCCCTGTGAACCGTGCCAGTACACAAGACCGTTGTCCCCGAGAGAGTAGTTCGGGACGGTCTTGCCACTCCGAAGGGTCGCGTGGATGTCGCGATAGTCGGGGCAGTGGCGGTACTGAGTGCGAAACTCGTCGATCACCGAGTGATGAACGGTGGTGACCGAGATGGAAGAGAGATGGATTTGCTCCTGGTCGTGGTCAGGGCGCCAAGATAAGGCATTTGCGACCCGATTAGTCTCACCCTTAATGTGCTCAGTGGTAAAACTAAACTCGGATAGGTCGCGCCACTAGCGAGCCTGTCGAGGAGTGAGCTTCGGCTTTGTCAGAAAAGCCTGGACAACACAGTTGTCTGTGCGCACCGTGTACGGTGCCCCGTGCAGATAGTGACGCCAGTGACGAGCGGCATAAACTACTGCGAGAACCTCACGTTCATCAGCGATGTAGTTTATCTCGGCGGGCAGTAGAAGGCTATCGGACAATCACCTGAGCGAGACTCGACAGTGCCGTCCTCGGCGATGGTAGGAGAATAGTCAATAGAAGGCTGGTTAGTAGCTGGTCGAGTAGGCGTCAGTCGGAAAGCAGTGGCAGGGGTAGGTGGTGGGAAGCGAGGGATACGAGGATGAGAGGAATCAGGAGAGGAGGGGAAGATCTGAGAAAGCACTGCTCCTACAAAAAAGTCTGACGCATCGGTGGTAAGGATAAAAAGGCGATCAAAATCGGGTAGGTGAAGAACCGGTGCGCATGTTACCGCCTTCTTGAGGGCGCGGAAGGTGTCCTCGTGGAGGGGTGTCCAAACCCAGGGCGGGTTCTTCCGGAGGAGGGTGGAGGTAAGGACGTAGGAATACTTAGCGTATCCCTGGATGAAATTACTATAGTAGCTGGTAAGGCCTAGGAAGCTGCGAAGCTGCTTGGCGGATGTGGGGACGGGCCACT